ATCGATAGATTACTCGATTACTAAAATATTCGTTTACAACAGCCCTAAACCAGAGCAGCATTGATGGCGACGGCTACATTTGCTGATGTTTGCATTCTGAACCATTGAAGGACCCTCTAACATAAAACTGCTGTTCTCCTCTTTTTGCTGCGATGAAAACACTTTTCGTCCCACGCCCGCCTTTGGTGGATCCTTTCCTGCGCGTTCTGGCATGCGGGCTATTAAGCCGAGTCGTCGTCACTGTGACTGCGTGCAGACCGTGACATGACGCCACGTATTATGACAGCTTGCTGCATCTGCTGTGCATTACTGGAAATGTGTGAGATGGTTGACCTGATATTGTGGGAACAGCTCACAAACAGGGACCTCTCTGATTAAAGGGAGTGACAGGAAGGGTCTCTGACAGCCCACATTAGAAATAATGATTTTTATGATTTTTATTCATAGAGACAAATATGGTTTGTTTTAAGTATGTGGCTCAATTTAAAAAATAAAAAATAAACTTTTTACAGATTGGTTATGCAGCAACCTCAACACTTTTTGCATCCCTGTTAAATATGTGTAAAAATGCATAAAACAAAACAAAATCACCAGTGTCACATTTATTAAAGCCTTCAACAATTCTTACTACATGAAAGTAATCAGAGTGTCCAGGCATTTTAAATTAGAAATCAGCAACTTTTATTTTCCTACAGTAAGAAGATAATGTGATAAAGAGGCCCACTTCTCTTAGCCACAAGTTAAGTTGATCTCTCCACCACAACCCATGAGCAGGATGATAGGGCAGGGAGGGAAAAAAATCTCCAAACCTCAGGGTGAAGTCTCCATAACAACAATCCGACGTCATTACTCCAAACAAGCTTGTTGTTTGGGAGGCATCTGGACGAAACAGCCGTCTCTGTCGTAGCGTATAAACATGTGGAGTTTGTTGAACTCTCCTGGAGATTTTAACTAGAGCCTTGGTCTCTGGTCATATGAGACAAACGGAACGTTTCATTCAACAAAAACCAGGTGAGTTGGTCATGAAACGCAAGATGCATATGCAGAAATGAACCTTGTGTTCACCGTTAAGTCTTTTCCAAAGTAATTTTTTTTTGAAACACCTGGACATTTGAAATATAAACTCGGGTTTTCGGTAGAGTACTGATCAAAACCACGTGGCCAAATTCCACATGTGGAAGTGTTTTTCAATTAGTTTAAAGTGTCGCCAACAAGGGTGCTAATAAATGTGACAGTGGGGAGTGTGGCAAAAACTTTATTTTTCTGTTAAATTGGGATTGTTCTTAGTATTTAATGTTTTCCCAAATTAAAAATTGGATTATTCTAAAATGTTCAGAATAACCATCCTGAGGAGAATCTATTTCAACCACCAGCGTTTCTGATCTGAACCAAATATTTCCAGTTTGTTCAAATCTGTTTGTTCATCAAAACTTCTCTGTGAGTTTTACAATAATTTGTAAGTTTTACAGGAACTCAAGCGAAAGTAAAAGAATGCAGGAAGTGTGTCCAGACATTAGTGGTGGGAGGAAAATAGTTTAGAAATGTCATTTAGGGTCTCTGAGAGTTCACCGTAAATCTCTATGAAAATACAAGCTGCCTGCATCAATGCTGGCTTTATTCCACACAAACAGATTATCTGAAATGCTTTTAACCTCACATCATCCCTGTAGTCGTCTGCATATTTGATTTCTATCTGGAAAATACCTTAATTTTTGATCATATCACATCATCATAAAGGAAAGAATAGATTCCACTTTTACTCGAAGGTTTCCACCATCCTTGTTTTCACGTCTGCCAGACTAAACTTGTGTATCTCGGATCTTCTTGCCACTTCGGTTACCTCATCCCATGAAAGCCTGTGGACACAAGTCGATGGGATAGACCTTGTTTTCCTGCGGAGAGATGTAGGAGTTATTCCAGCACAGAGTGGGAGTGAGAAAGTGATCTTTGAAGAAATGACTAATCATGTTTTGAACGGAGAGATTGTTGCGCAAAGATAGGTTGATGCATACAAACATCTGTGTGCAATGTCGCAACACAATAAGCACTGTGCAGAAATTCAAGGAAGTATTTTTCATGCCTTTTGTGTATCTTTCTCTGATTGTATCTTTGCAAGGAATTCAACACTGCAGCAACATTTAAATGCTCTTGAATCACTAGTTATGTCAGAATTTGCTGCCTTAAACAAGTAAAGTAGTAAAGTGTGACTGAGCATTATTAAGACCAAGGAACACACCAGTTAGCAGCTCATAGCAACGCACAGGTGTTGACAGAACAACTTTTTCATCCATCCATCTTTTGTCTTCTGCTTAATCTGGTGTTGGGTCACAGGGGCAGCAGTAGAAAGGCCCAGACTTCCCTCTCTTGAGCCAGCTCCGCTAGGGGAATCCCACAGTGTTCCCAGAGTGTCGTTCACTCCATAAATCTGGCCTTTACAGAAAGGTTGTGAGAAGAAAACCTTTAAGAGAAAGACAAAAGAAGTCATGATTCCAGGTTGCTACAATCCGTATAGGGGGAATAGCAAACATGTGGGAGAATGTGGTGTGGGAATGATTTTCTTCAGCAGGGTAGCTGGTGGGAAGATGGATGGAGCTAAGTGCATGGCAATCCTGGTGGGAAAACCTGCTAAAGGGTGCAAAAGAGTTGAGCCTGAGGCTGAAGATCAACATTTGATTATGCAGAACATTCAGCCACAGCAACAATCGAATGGTGCAGATTAAAACGCATACATGGATTAAAATGACCTAGTCAAAGTCTCAACTTAGTCCCAATAGATAACACTGGGTTACAAAAAATATTTTTTTGGAAATTGTCTGTTTTTTCAACTGAATTAGGACTATTTTGCACCGCTGAATCCAAAAATGACATAATTTTTTCTTAATCAGGTCAGGTTTTTATTCGGCAACACTTCATGTGAAGGGATCTGCATAAGACTGACATGACGCTGTCATAAATATGACATAACACCTGTTATGAACATGAAGGAGTCTTTAGTAATGTTTATCACTGTTGTCATGAGCTGTCATTCGGTGAATAATGACGCTTCTGATGCAAAGTTGCATTAAAAGAGCCATCTTTACATGAAGGTGCCAATATTTACCCAATTATGCAACGTTTGCACTTTTAATAGACTTTTAGTGCAACTTGTAAAGCAACTTTGCATTAAAAGTGTCCGTATTTAATGCAAATACTAATTTGATTTAGAGAATCTCAATCTGATGACTAAATTGACGACATTATCAGTTCATTTCCATTAAAATTTCTCATCCAAAGAAGGTTGTAGGAGAAAATAGTGTTTCCTAACAGAATGTATTAACTGAATGTCACAAACTTGGATTTCTGTGAATTGAATAATAAACACTTTTAAGGTTAAGTACATGTAAATTAAACATTACGTCATCGTCTCTCCTGCTCGTCACTCATTGATCCCAGATCCTCAGGAAACCGATCCAGATGTGAGAACAAGTCATGCATTTTGATGCTCGTGTTGCAGGTCAGAAAGTTGACCTGATTGAATAAAACCAGTGTGATTTTTGGATTCAGCACATCAAAATTACCCTGAAACAGTTAAAAAAACAAAGAAAATCTGAAATTCTGACTATACTTTTGAATTGATGCCAACAGGTACTCTTCATTTCTGTCCAATATGACTGACAAATGGATAAAAATGTCTTTTTCTAGATGTACACAGCTGGTAAAGATCTCACCTAGAAAGACTTGCTAATCCTACGGAGCATCGACTCAGACTGGCTGAACACACTTTTCAGATTTTTATTTGTGAGAAACTTGGCAGACAAGTATAATTTATCTTGCACTTCACAATTATGTGCTTGTTTCTATTGGTCAAAATATAAAAATATTTGTGGTGTGAGTGCTTTTGTAAGCCGTTGTATAGTCTAAAAATCACAGCTTGTTCAGATTCGTCCATTAGGATGAATTCTTCAGGATTTTCCAAGCCATTATTCCTTGGAAAGGCAGAATAAGATAGATTCTTGTGATAACAGATGTCTGTGAAATGTGTTTTGGACCATGTAGCTAATTTACTGTCTTTGGTTGAGTGCTTGGCATGGGGCAGACAGACGGTCTGCCACACAGGAGTTGACAAGAGAGACAGAAGTGAAGCCAGACTGCTGATTGATTTCAGGAAAACCCGCTGGGTGCACACACACGCGCACGCCCACACACACACACGTCACACCTCCTTCTCCTATGTCTATGCTCTCACACACTCTCCCCTGAAGGCAGAGTTTTGCTCTCTAGTGCACTGGGTCAGACAAGGATTGGTTACACGAGGAATTCCCTACTTACTCCTAGCTGGATTAATGATAAGTTCAGGCTGCAGGAATAAAACATGACTAATAATAAATGCGTGAATGTGTGCGATTTTTTGTTTTGTTTTTGTTTTTTTACATGTATTCACCATCCACACATAGTTCAGATGTACTGATGACAGATTAAATGGATAAACTTTTACAAACTATTTCAACTAACTGAATTTTTCAACAGATTTCTCTTGTTTGTCAGGGCGTAGTGGGTCGGGAACCGTTCCCCTTGCCTCCAATTCCAGCCCCAGCCTGTATAGATCCTTCAGAGAGTTACTATGAGGAGGCGCAACCCTATGAGGAAACGACCAACGGTAAGGTCCTTTGCAAAATATTTCAAGATTTCTTTACACTTTCCGCAAAACCACCAAGAGTTGCACTTTTTAGCATTTAGTGACATCTAGTGGCAAATTAGTATAATGCAACCAAATAAAAAACGACAATTGGATCATTTTAAATGTTATGTGAAGCTGCATTTGATTCTACTTCAAAGAAGTCTTTTTATTAAAGATTTATCTTATGTAAGCAATTATCGCATAATATTTCAGAAAATAACAATAAAATTGTTTTATACGTGGAAGACTCTATACTCATAAAAATGTTACCGGTTACCGTATGTGCAAATAATGCATTTGTAAAAACTGTATATTTATGTTGGCAATAGATTTCTACCTAATAGTACACACATCTACTTCTTTACCGAGCTGAACATCATATTTATTGTGTTTGTACGAAAACAAAACAAATAGATAAAGCAAATAATGCAGAAAAACACCAACAACTCAAATATAGTTGAGCTACATGTTATGTAAAACTTGTGAGGAAGTTTGGTTTGATGTAACAACAGAAATAAGCTGAAATAAACGTCTTAAATATTAGAAACTTCTTGTTCTATTCAACCCTAAATCCAAACTAATCCAAGCTGCATTTTGGAAAAACTTGAGTTTATTAATTGTTGCTACACTGGTGTCCTTAACAAATTATGCTTTCAAACACTCTAGTTACACGTGTACCAGCAGAGGTTGGAGCTGAGTTAATTATTCATGAATGCAGATAAACTGTTCATTAATACAGCTATCACTTTGTTTTATAGACTCAGCGGCCATCTTGGGATTTTCAGCTCTGGTTTAGTGAGGAAGTAATTACTTTTAAATAAATCACTGATTGTTGACACCCCGGGTGATAATACTTTACAATTCCTTTAGCCAAAAGGGCAGCACTTGGTTTTCTGTAACATTGGGATCTTTGACCACCAAAGGAGTCTTGTTCTCCTTTTCAGCTCATCATTTTCTACAGTGTTTGGTTCTGGAGTTTGAGACAGTCATGAAAAAAAATTGCTTTTCTGTCATTGCAACAATTTCTGTGTTAATTTGACTAATGTTCCAGCTGAAATACCCAAAGATAACCCTATTGTTGGTTTTCTTGTACACACCATCAGTTATTTACCTAAAATCTCCTGGTGTTTCTTTTGTTTTGCACCAGAACCACCTCCAGTGGTTACGCTATAAAAACTCAATTTTAGCCACGTCTGACCGAAGTCCCAATTAAAATCCCAGGATGAGGAAAGAAACTCCACTGGTTTGGATTTGTTATGGTGGGGTAGAAAAGGCTTTTTCCTGGCATTCCCACAAACAGCTGGTTTGCACATAGCATCTTTTGGTTTGGTCCGCAGGGTTGACGATCTTGAGCTGCCATTCTTGGTTACAGTCCTCTAACACTGGAGATTTTTACCTCTCTTACCATCCTGGTCTCTGTGCATATTTTCCAACATTTTACTTGTTTTTAAATTTTCCTAAATTACTGCTCAACTTTTTTTCAAGGATATTTCTTTTAGAGGATTTGTTAGGGGTACCAATCAATGGGAGGATGTTGCATTTTCTGTGAACACTGTAAAAACAGAAAATCTTACCAAGCAATTTGGGTCTAATATCTTAGTACACTTGAAATTAGATAAAACTAACTTACAAATAACTTTTCAACAAAAAATATGAGCTTTTTGTGAGTTAATAATTCCTTAAAATTGCAGAAAAAGTACTTGTTCCAGATTATTTGGCAGATTATAATCTGCAATATTAGGGTATTACTGACTTAAAACAAGCTCTTACATCTTGCTGAAAAGTTGCTTGTAAGTTAGTTTTGTCTTATTTTAAGTGCAGTTAGACATTTGCACTAGAAACTAGACCAAAAAAATTAAATCTACGATAATAATGGGGTAGGTTTATTAAATCTACTTAATTGTTGTTAGATCTGTATTTTTTTATAAATGCATTTAATTCCTTATGTTCAACTGATACTTTTTATTAAAGAAAACATCCCATATTTCCTGTCTTCTTATGGGGTTTTTTTGATACTGTGCAGATCTGGCGCGGTCTGGCCTCCTCTCTGAGCCCTGGACGAGAGTGCTCAGCTCAGACTGTGTGGTTTATGCCGTTATCACCGGGGGTAGATGAGACTCCTGTGTCTCTGTGGCATGTCTGCACTTGTTTTTATTTTGCCTCTACCAAAACACGCATGGGGAAACCAGCATGGTCGGAGCGTGGCATGTTAGGGAGCTGCCGCCATTAATCAGACTTATCAGTTTCCTGAATGTGTCCTTTTCACTTGTCCTCATTTTCCTGCCAATCATCCATCTGTTGTTTAAAATTCATCCGTCTGCTTAAGTTTTGTGAGGAAATGCTTCACTCAAGAGGATCAGGAGATCGGACATTAAGCTCATTAACTCCTCCAAAACCATCCACCCCTTTCAGCTTGCTTTAAACAATCCTTTAAGCGACGCTCCTTCCAAAGTTTTAACTGTTGCCTCTGCGGGTTTTTTTTCCTCTTAGACGACGGAGACGCCGTCAGCAGCTCGTACGAGTCGTACGACGAAGAGGAGGTGACCAGAGAGAAGTCACCGTCAGCTCAGCACCAGTGGCCGTCAGCCGAGGCGTCTATAGAGCTGATGAAGGATGCTCGAATCTGCGCCTTCCTGTGGAGGAAGAAGTGGCTTGGCCAGTGGGCCAAGCAGCTCTGTGTCATCAAAGATCATCGTCTTCTGGTGGGTTGCACGCTCAGTTAAAGACCAGCAGATGTTCTGTGTAGAACATCAGCTGTAGTGTGTTTCCCCTCTGTAATTAGAGGAATTTTAGATCAAACTAATGTGTAAGTTCAGCCTGAAAACCTAAATTACAAAATGTAATTTATTTTTCTGCTTGTATTGAAATATCGAGATGATTTCTGTAAACAGTCATTATTTTGGGCAGAGGTTTGTCATTGACTTCAAGAGATTTCTCTGTGTCCTTCTGTTATTGCTGGTCAGTGTGCATTTCTTTCTGACAAGTTATTCTCACTATTTAACCTTTGTAATGACTTATTATCTTGGTATGCAATGTGTAAACTAAGGTAAGTTTGCTATTATGCATAGAAAACAGTTAACGAAAGCATGCCCAATTAATTTCTGAATAGTTTTAAGGTGTACTTTAATTATTTAAAGTGGAAAACATAGACAAGTTCTATTAACTTTACTTCGGTTCTCATAACCATCTTTCAGAGAAGAAATGACCACAATTTTCAAGAGATTCCTGTTTATTAAAATGTTCATTAAATAGTAGATTATTAAACTTTTAGGTCAGTCTTTGACTATATCTGTTTATCAGATTAAACATATTTAAAATGGTTGCAAGATGAATGTTTCTTCTCTTTAAAAATAACTTGTTGGCACAGCTTAGGTTTGGATATGTGCTTCTGAAGTAAAGACCTTTTGAACAGTCACCTTAAGACAGACAAAACTAAATTAGAAAAGTTTGACCGTTATTCACAGTGAACCAAACTGCATATCAGGCCAAAGAGCACAAACCACTGTAAGGTGGTAGAGGAAGTGTTGATCTGGGCTTTTTTTGCTGCTGTCAGACTTTTATTCCATCCAGTCAGGGTTGGCGATGGACTAAACTTTTTACCCAAATGTTTCAGAGTGGTGTGTGACCATCTGACAGCTGAAAATTAGTCAAGACACCTGCTACTCTGTCAACTAATAACATCCCATTGGGTTTATATTTAAGTCACACATCAATGCCTAAATAAGTGACCCAAAAAAGCCACATTTTAAATTTGTTTGTCCTCATTTGGCAGAAATGCTTTAGCAATTAGGGCTGTTGTAACCAATATTTTTAGTAATCGAGTATTCTACCGATTAATCGAGTAATCGGATAAAAAGATTTTGATAAAATAAAATATTGGTATCCAATTTTTCATATTTGACCATCCCTAACAATAACTTTTATGTAGTTTAGAAAATTAACCTGTTGCAATAATAGCTCACTTTCTAAGTGAACCTGAAGAAAAGTTATACAAAAATATTAAAATATATTCAATTTAACAAAAAAAGAGTTTGAGGGACATGAATGTGTTAGAAATAATCTAAATGTCTATTTATTCTTAGAG